TTCCATTGCCAGATATAGCAGGACTACTACTTGTATACTTAACTTTAGTTGAGTCAGAAAATACCTTTAAGTTAGGCGCATGCATTATTGCATTGCAAGTTGCAGCGCTTTGCAATATTTTTAACCCACGTGTCGGGTAACCTCCTTAAAGATTAGTAAACTTTTCCATGCCAATCTGTCTCACTGGATAGCATGGTCTATTTGCTATCTAGAAATTCTTGTTTGCTTGTTTCATTCTCAAGACCCTAATAGTCAACCTTCCATAAATGATTTGTGACTCTTACTTTTCGGGATTTTTTACTTCCAACTAATGCTACCGTTAAAATACGGGGCTAAATTGAAAAAAATCCGACAAGTTTTATGGATTCCACTATGCTTCTTTATCATGAGGATCTCTGACAATGAATTTCCTGGTCTTGTAAATGATGCTGAGGAGCTCCCATACCTTTCTTGTTTTCTGAACGCATCAGGTGGTGACGGTATCTTTAGCTCGTCCGTTGCTTATGCACCAGCAAATCGCTCATACTTTATCTGCTAAAGTTTTATCAGTTTCCACTGAGCTTTTTGACATTTGCTTTTGCTAGACAATTTTAAGGGCACCAAGGCGTTCGTTGCTTTTTAAAAATGGACGATGAGATACTGATCATAACCCACGAAGTTATCAGAAGGCGTTTGTCGGTTGAAACACCTACGTCTTCAACACTAGTCTTCAACACTGTACCTTCAAGCTGCTGCGGATTCAGGATCGTTTATTTGAATGAGACTATGACTCGTGATGCCAATTGTTTAGTTGCGTAATTTTCCATGTGAGAGAATTGTGTTCTCCGACCAAGGCAATTATTTTGCAGACGTTTCGTTGCTAAACTAGGTAACACCTAGTGGGGCCACAGAAGTCTGATTTGCAGATTCTTGTATGCTATTGCCAAATTCGTGACTATTGATCGTCTCCTACTTTGAAGGTGTCTTTGACTGGCTCAAGTGGGTCTGTCAACTGGTCATATCTACGCCCTGCAGACCCGTTAGTTACTTTTTCGACCTTACTTGAAGAGCTACGTAGATTCTTTCTAGTTTTACATGCTTGTTAATTGAGTTCTGGCCCTAATGCCACTCCAAGATGAACTCAACCTCTCTGCGGTGCTTTGCTCATCCAAGTATCTTGACGTTCCCCAGATCGAACTGATGGCATTACGCGTCCATATGTACTGACATTAGTGATTTTTTTATCAAGGCGACGGATGGCCAGACTGTACAGGCAGTCATATGCCAAGGTTCCTCCAATTTTACATGTTTTATGATGTTGCTTTAAAGTACATTGCAAAATGCTGCAAATGTACCATCTCCATGAATGACTGACATACTTAAAAACACCTTTATTCAGCTGGTCGTCAGCACCCATCAAGCTCCTTTGTCACAGTGGTCTGTGCTAAAATATGCCTCACAAGATATCGGATAGGCAGTGTGACTGGTTACACCAGATACTACTGGTTGTTTTACTATCCTATGAGCTCCACAATCTTATCCGGATAACGCGGCGTGACTATCAAATTTGTTGTTTATTTCCTTTTTGGAAACTCATTTTTCCTCTAGCTACTGCGGAGTTATCTAATACACAAAACATTTTTACCATTTTGTTAATCTAGATTACTGGGTTGCCTTCGGTGTTTTGCAATTCTGTCAATAATTTGAAAGCTGTCTTGGATATGCTGTTCATCCGCATATCATTAAATACGCCTACAAGATCGGAAATGAAATTAACCGAATCAGAACTTTAAGAAAACACGGAGTTGGCTGGCAACTTAGTTGTCAAATAGGAATACTGCTGATACTATCCAGCATTATTTGTGAAACCTTAGGAAAATCTTAAGACCTATTGCTGTGGTGTAGCAAAATGTATATTCGAATACAGCCATTTTCTTTCTTAGAAAGTTTGTTGCATTCTGATGTTACTCACTCTGATGATTATGTCTTCAGCAGATCCGAGTAATGCCTCGGAATCATCCAGAGTCTCTTCACCTTCATAACTTAGCGCATATGTGCATCTGCATCCATATATTTCCTATAATCAACCGTCCTAATCAGCTGTAATCTGATTTAGGTTAAGCCAAAGCTATTATTGTTTTCATTTCTTTGGTAATTGGTAACGTTTACATCACTAAGGACACACCGACACCAGAGATTGAAAATTTTGTATATGAACTGTTTAGCAGGTTACCGAGAAATCTTTACAGATTGGTCAGTATCATCACTGCGGACTTAAACATAATCAGTACCAGGCTCGTCAAAGCATTTAGTTAAATTAACATATTGGTCTTTATGACCAGATCAGAACAGCAAGCAAATGTTGCCTTGATAAACCATACCTAGCTGATTTTTACGCAAAAGCTTGCCCCTCTTGATGGCCCTCGTCATTGTATCTTAAAGGCATGCGCTTTCGTTTATGGCAGGACCTATCCCGTTTCATCGGAAACTATGACTTTCAAAAGTGTGAAGTGAAAGACCCATCAGCACCAACATTGCGAGAATTGTAGCAACTAAGAGGTAATTCTTAGCTTATGTACAGTATTTTACTCAATCGTACAATATTGGTTTTTATTTTAAGACCAACCCAACGGCCATTTTTACCTACATGCGGCTCATCACTGTAGTCCACGGTGAGTTCCGACACTGAGGTATGATTTTGTCGCTTCATCCGTTTTTTCGTTCTGTTGTAGCCTTTCTCCAATACAATCCGCTGTGTCCGATCTTCTGGTTTTCTGGTATCCGCACCAGAGCAAGGACACTCACGGACTAGCATAGACTAGTCCTACAGATTCCAAGCAACACTGTCAACTATGTGTTTTCCAGCTTTTCCCAAGGAAGACCTGTCTGTTCAGTATGAACCCATCACTTATTATCTTAACTTTGGCTTTGCTCGGTGCTATTTGGTCGAAGCCATCTAATTACGAGTATATATATTCCTCAGCATTACTCGAACAACTTATATGAAAAATGAACAGGTCTATAGATATAAAGCGACTGCCCATGCCAATTTTATGATTGAATATTTCATAAGTTGAAGCCGCTTTATGCAACCATAAGTACATAGACACGTGTTGACTTAGAAAGCAGATATGCGGTAAAAGCTTCATTAAGCAGCATGGTTCCGTGGAGCGGGGTAACCCTATTCTGAGTTCTTTTCTTAACCACGTGGAAAATTCTCCTCATCTTCGCGCTCTTTGGCTTCGTTCTCTAGTTATGACTCAAATTTTCAGAACAACACTTTGAAGTCTACAGTGAACACAGGAAGTTGAACTCAAGGTAGGCTAGCGAAATCTATGTTCCATGGATTGTCATAATTTGGTATACTGATGACCTCACCACGTTGTTGACAGATATTTAATTGTACCTACACGGTAGAAGTATTCCCGACATTTGGTGATCTGTCAGGATAACTCCAATGCGAAACGGATACTTGGAGGTCCTTTCCATCGCCCGCACGTCCACCATGCCTAGTCTTCCGGAGACTAATTGTGCCTTGAATATCAATACACTCTCCAACAGTGGACGTATCGCAGTTTGCCCAGACACAGACGTTTCACCTTGAATGTCGTAGCGTACGTTATTCAAACAAAAGAATCTGAATTGGGTGCGAAATGCAAAACTGTGAGGTTAATCTGCCTTGAATACTGCAATCCTTTGTGTAGCGTTAACAGATCAATGCTGCGTAATAAGCTGTCTGCGAATGGTGTGCAACTAGCAGCGGGTTTTGATGAGCAATCACTCTGTAAATTGCTCTCATTTATACCCGGCAAAGTGTTAAGTCACCAATTTTCTTAATGATTGGAGCATTGGATAAGGAGCCATCCTGACCCCTTTGCCATTCTTTGCATCGAAATGCTCCAGTTTCCTCCCCAATTTATTGTTTGTAAGTAACATAACGACGTAGTTCGTGGCAGCATCGTTCCAACGGTATAATCATCAGCAGCTCTCTAAAACGGCTCGGGTGATCTTTATTCGTTGTCATCATTCCGATTCCTCATTCTTAAAGTTTTAGAATGCTGCAATGTAAATTTCTCTTCCCTCCGCCCTGACAATTATACGACTATGGCAAATAATTATCGCTGCAAAATGGTGAGCGATCACAAGACACGGTTCATCCACTGTTAGGCAACGGGGTGTTTAGTTAGCGCCTACTCTATCACTATCAAAACACCTATTTGAAACATTCCACAAGGTGCGAAGATTGTCCTTTTGTACCCAGAGACTTAAAATGTTTTCAGCACAATGTACTTTAAGTTATGAAGTTGAGACAGCCCGTTTCCTTTCTCAGTAACTAAATTGCTCAACTTTCACTTTGAATGTGCCCTTCAATATGCTTATATACAAATATAGTGGGTTGACCACAGAGTCTCTGGTTGATTTTGTCGTTACTGGGTATTTTAGGCAAGGGCCGACATTTACTCCAAAGTTTTAAGCCAATCTGTTCGCCCCTACATTATGGTTTATTAAAAGCACACTGCTGTTCTTTTATACGTCCTAAATTTAGCGTGTTGTTTTCCTGCACGTGGCATTATCTTGTGGACCCCAGTAAAAGTATGGGGGACAATACAAAAACATTCATTTGAATAATGCGCACATTCAGTTTCCTTTAAGGATTTGATTGCATGTTATTCCCCATTCCAACCTCATTGCTGCTATAACATGCAGCAAGTTTTACCAATGGGTACATTATGTCTAATTTGTATTAACGACATGTGTGAGGATACTTCGTTACGTAATGAGCGATTGTCTACTCTGTGCATAAGCTCGAATTACTATAGCGTAATTGCTTGTCAATTCAATTAGTTTAGACAACGCAAGATTTCACTTTGCTTTTACTAAGACCAATCCGCATTTTGGAGCTTGGTGCAACCTTTGACAGTGTTACATAGGGGTAGACCAAATACCATTGGGCCACTACACGATAAAAGTTAGCGAATGTAATGCGCTAATGTTTATATCGCCATACAGTATGTAGGCTACTATATATGAGTAACGAAATTTTCCACAATCCACTTGTGGTAATATGACAGACGAGTAAAAATTAGCGGACCATAGTTCGCCGCACGTTGGGCTAACAAACCAGCAACATATTTTTCTTTCGAAAAAATAAACACACCGCCAGCTGCCTCCTGAAACGTAGGAAAATAATCATAATGAAAGTTTCGTCAGCAACATCCAATAATACTGGTCATTCAAACTGAACGTCGAAAGCTGATTTGTCAGGCTAACTGGGCGATACTGTTCATGTCAAGTCAAGTCAAAATAGGCTTGATCCACTTCAGTGTGTGCATTCTTAGCATTTACCCTATCACTTTGCATACACTGTATGTATGGGACCAGTTAAAAATAGAAAAATACAGATTGAAGATTTGAACAGACAGCAGTACGTAGATGTCCTTTAAGGAGCTGCGGGCGCAAGGCAATTATGGCTTTCGTAGGGTCGAATAGAAACGTGACATATAGGAGAATATTTTGTTACGAAAGGAATAAGTGCAAGCTGATATATCGCTATAGTTTGAACGCGCGTGAGAGAGAGATAATGTGCTTGGGAGCAGTATGTATCGGATGGAAGTGTTTACTTAGGTACTTTGCAGAAAAGTTCATGCAAGTGTCGAAATGCCTATGAGCCATCAAATCATCTATGTAATCTCTAGGCAAGATACCACATCTGGAATATGCTTAATCGATAGCACAATTGCAACAAAGTCCTGTTGCAGTAGCCAAGTGAAAATTACTGCACATCACTCTTAGATTGTACAGCACGTACTTGGGTGTGTTCTGGTTGTATGCCTTGTTCTTGCGCTAGTGTGATTTTCTCATTGGTTTTTTAATGGCGCTTCACAACCTTACGAATATACCAGCAGAATACCAGTCTGGGTGGAATGCCGTTAATAACAGCTGAAATTTCCATTCAGAACAGCCTAGGGTTTGATGGAGACTACTCGGATTCAGCGGACACAGCCGTGTTCATGAACGAATCCATCCGATTGCTTATTAACTGTAGCACGTCAACTATTGACAGAACGTTAGCAAACAAATGAGCCTGGCTGCGATTGAAGCCCAACCCGATGTTTCAGTGTTCATTTGGTGAGGACGGCGCCAGTTAACTGTCTTTTATCTCAATTTCCACTGCGCAATAGCAATTCATTTTCATGGTCAGCTTGTATGGTGCAATTGCGTAGAATGAAGATACACAGAATAGAAAATGGGCTGTGAGGTACTTCATTCGGAACGCACTCAGTTGTCATCGGCCTGACCACTATTACTCAGTTTGATGTGTTATTCTAACCTTCAGTTGCTTTGTGGTTTGGTACTCACCACAGCACAAATTACAGTTACTTTCCATTGGACTTTGAATTATGGACTGAAATATTGGATCGATCGTACAGTTTGTTAGCTAACGAGGTTCAAGCTATTGACCAGATAAAGGATCGGGATGAATGTTTTTGGACAGAACCTAGTGTCAGGAAACTTCCGATTATTTTATAAGACTAGAGCAAATTCATGGGTGATACAGTGGTGAAGACATGACTGCAGAAGATGAAACGAAAATATGAACGGCTTGGAGGAATTAAAACAGCTGCATGCGATAAATGACCCTTTATCTCGTCGAGCAACTAATGTAGACTTTTAGCACTTCGGCTTCTTGGTCTACCTAAAGTACACAAACCATCCGTCCCTTTAGGTCCTATGAATGGTAATTCGGCTTCCGCTTTCCACTCTTGCAAAATGGCTTGTCAATTTTTCTGGAAGTAGAACGTCATGAATTATCCATACACTCTCAAAAGGATGCATTTGATATTTATCGTTAGAAATTCGTCACACCTAGACCCACTTAGATTACCATCACACATTCGGAAATGCACTGAACACGCGTTTCATCAGTTCGGGAATCGTCAGCAGTGCGCATTCCATCGGGCACCGCACCTCGACTGTTGTCAGTCCGTAATTAAGCCCACTGAGCTACGCGGACGGTAATGACTATCGTGAGTAAGTTACTAGATGTGATAAAGCATCGCTCACTATCCACTGGCTTGTACGTTACTGTCGTTCAGAGGACAGGGTAGCCACCTCATCAAGTGACAAATAACTACCGACACCATAAAATCTTCTACTATTACGCTTTAATCAATATGCAGATAAAATAGGTTATAATGCTATTGGTTAATTAACTGGTTTAAGTTTGGTAATTTCGTGGCTTGTTGAGGGGGCTACCCTTTTCTCTGAACTGCAGTAACGTGCAAGTCAATGGAGAGTGAGGGGCGCTATATCACCCTTAGTAACTTATTCACAGCGATTGTTGCCTCTCCCCCCCGGAGCGCACGAACTGACAACATTGTAGTTGGGGTTCGAGCCCTACCGGGGTCCGATGGAATGCGTACTGCTGACGATTCCCGAAGGGATACAGCGCGCATACATTGCTTTTCCGGGCGTATGATGGCTATCTGATTGAGTCACGATGTGACAATTGCTACGGATACCAGATAAGACCCCTAATAATAAATTTGAATTTGTTGGAAAAGTCAAATACATGAATGTAGACGGCAAAGTTATGCTCTCATTTGGTGGGTATCACTTTTCACTGAAGTCCAATTGCTTGCGTACGTCAAATTTCTTTGCGAATACATAACCGAAAGACAAATAGATGTTGGCATTATCTTGACGAAATTGAAGGGACTAGTTCTGCGAAGCACCTGCAACAGTCAGTTCTTGTTTTATGTCAGATTTTAGCGGCTTTTTGTCAGATTGACGGAGTTGTTATGGGTTCGCGCTTTAGGACTTCTTCTCCCCAGTGTCTTTCTTGCAAAGCGTGAATGTTGTCCTGTCCGACCTGTTATGACTTCATTGGTTTCCTTCTGCAAGTAGATGGAGGAGAGGTTCGTTCTCTTTCGTGCAAGCGCTGATTTGGTTTACTCGAGCAACCCAACGGTGCACACTCAGCATTGAGGTTCATTAATATAATCGAAATGACGGAAACCTGTCGTGCCTGGATGTCATTTGGTGAGACGGGAAGACGGTTCTATTGAGAGAAGCGCCTTCGGGAAGGATTCGTGGGTTAGACAATACAAGCAGTTTCTGTGTTTCGTGAATCTGAGGTGTAAACATAACTTAGTTTGCTGCATGTATTGTCGAGCTTCTAAAATCTGCAGCCCGGAGACGTTAGCAGAGGAGAAAGAAAGCGTTTTTAAAACGCTGCTCTCAAACGGTTATCCCTCATCTTTTATAAAATAACACGCTGTTGTTAGTGAACACAGTAAGCATGCCGTCATAGCTTTAAAAAGGGATGTGTTTCTCATGGTTCCGTTTAATGATGTTATTGCATTCGATCTACTGAATAGAAGGCTTTCCGCTGCAGTGACGAGAACCTACCCAACCACAAATTCACAAGTTTCCGCAGAGACCACTCCACTTGTTACTCAGTGCCTTAAAGACAGATTAGCTGCGAAGTCGATTACAAGGCTTATTAGTGGTACTAACAATTAAGTATTCGTCCTCAACTACCTTAGATAAAGAACGTGCCTTAATTCTAAGTTGATGGGGCCTCTATTGTTGTTATTACTGTTCATATTTTATTGAATTTCCGTGAATCGGCCTTTGTCAAAAGCAGCCCTCAAATATCTGTCGTATTTTATCCATTGTTGCCTTCTCTTTTAGTACGCGCACAGTTCACCTTTACGCTTGTATACGTTGATAATCAGGATAGGTATTAATCTCACCACTTATGAGTGTCATTCTGGTCAACAATGCCTTCACTTGGTCTGCATTGAGTAATCAACCTACAAAGTTGGATTTGTGCGAGGTAGCGAATCCTGGCCACAGGGAATTCTGTAACAGTGATTTGCACAGTGATTCGTATACACAACCAAGAGTTATGATAATACACAGACTGGGAAGCCGACATCAAGAAGAACAAGTACCATATATATTCATGATGTCGGACGCTATCACAAGAAGTCCCTACAGCTTTCGTGTGATAACATAATGAAGCTGCATCTTGAAACTACGGTTTTACTACCGCAACTGCTTACCATAAATTCTCTGTCAGGCGTTCCCATATCGATGTACGTCGGTGACATCATGGACCTGAACACGCAAAAGTAAAGTTTGATAAAACAAACAGCTGACATGTATCTAAATCATCGGCTCATTAACACCGAAGAAATTAATAGCACACAGTAGACCACAGGTTATGATATCTCAAATTTTCCCGACAGGCTGTATTACAGCTTACGGCTCTGCGCGAGCATACGGTGCTCTTAGGCTGTGTATTATATATTACGGCAAAGGTGGATATTTCATTCGTATACACACGGACTGTGTACCCTCAAATAGCGTAATAATCCACACAGTTCCTCGAATATGATCAAAAATAAAGTAGCTCAGTCGTTGAATATTTTATACTGAGCCGAAAGCAATCGTCGATCAACAATGTTGTCAGGCTATGCTACAGAACATTTGGTACCTTGGATAGTCCCTGTATTGCGGATATAAAATTGAATGCTTAAACAGTCTATTTTCACGGTGGGAATAATCAAGACAAAAACAGTGAAAGGAAACTATGGTGATACAATGAAGATACTTTTGGCAGTGTCACTATAGTGTATGCAAGAGTTATGCGAGAAGCAGCGCGTTTGCATTTTGTAACTTAATGCTTGTCGTTGCGCCATTTAAAGGCTGTATCCTATATCGAATCACACCGGCTACAATTCTTAATGTAGATGGGTTATGCTAGAGTCCATATGTTTGTTCAAAATTTGGTTAGTGTTCCTCAGTATCTTGTAGATAGCTATTAAGCCACCAGGTAGGTGACTTTAGTAACTGTCGTAAAATGAAGCTTTGCAGCTTTGGTTGATAGTATGGTAGAAAAAAGATTGCTGTGCGTTGTGTCACTATTCCGTGAGAACTACGGTATCGATTTTGGTCTAGAGCAGCCAGGTCTGCATTGCATATTCTACATGAGGCCGCACTTAGGTGTTAGGTATCTGCGGAGAGACAGATGGATATAAACGTCCCATTGCCGTCAGCGGGATACCGAAACTCAGTATGAGACAATGGTATTAGAATAAACATTCGGATCGTTACCTTTACCTAAAAAATGGACGAAGCAAGGAAAAATCTAATGAGGTCTGTAGCTTTTCTTCCCTTAAAATGAAAAGCCCAATGTGCTCAAATTCTCAGGAGACGCTAAAAGATCCCGTGGTACCACTTTTCTCATGAAGATTTCTTACCAAGAGGGAACCCAAAATGCACAGCAGAAAGCAGTTAAACAGCACTTCTGTGATGAGCTACTTACCGAAATAGTTCGTCGACATTTGTCCCCAAACAACTGGCCGTGGTTAAAACATATTTCCTGTAGATCAGTACACCTGTACAAATTCTCGGGTCCGGTTCCCATTTGGTAATCCTGACTAGCCAAGTGTACTTTGAGTTGGGCAACACGATGCCACCAAATATGCGCTTTTGCAATCTTGCTCGTGCAGCTATAATAAGAGAACACATGAACGAAGTTATTACTTGTTTTATGTAAATCCAATAGGCTTCAGTTCAGGTAGAGGACGATGACACTTTCAGTCACACTCACCATCTCTCTGTTGACTTCAAAATTAAATGCATGTACTGTTTCAGATTGCGCACGTGACGCAAATGCTAGTAGCATTACTAAATTTTAGGGGGCTTAGTATGTATTTGAGCAGATTCGTCGCATCCAGGATCAGCCAGGCAGTCACCACATATACAGGAAAGCACTTCCCTCTATTTGCAGTGAACGTCTAGCTGTCTCATGCTGTGCGCAATGTCCTCACACAGAGTACGAGTCTTCTAACACAAATTGCCACGGACCTGCGTATTTCTAACTGAGAGAGAAAGCGTTAAACAGCTGACAGGCAACTTGTTAGGTCGCAAGCTCCTCGTTTACATTCACATCGTTTGCCTGAATAGATACAGTACTAATTTGGGGAAATATGGCCCCAGAAGTTTTAGACCGTCCTTACCTACGGCATTTTGTTTGAGTAAATCCTTAACATAAATCATTTACAACAAGGCTAACAGTGTGCAAAATTTATACGTGATGTCTAAGAAAACGCGGTAGAACGGTGGTTTTTAATGGAAACAAGAAGAGTACATAAGAGAAGTCTGTCTTACCGACAATGAAGATGAGACACAGCCAAATTCCGAAATTCATCTTCCTGAAATAAAATAAAAGTAGGCCGGGTATAATGAGAAAATGCCCCGAAGAATGTAATTTAGACTGGCTCTGCGCCTGCAGGAAGACATTTACAGTCCAATGATACAACACTCGGATATGTGCATGAAAATGGGGACATACTAAATGGTGTCGTCCACTGCAAACGTTGCCAAACCTAAAGAACGACAACGGGGCCGGTGGTTGAAAGATGCCGATATTAATCTCTTTCGAGCCTTCATATACCCTCAGAGATTGGTCAATTGAAGAAGCACCACAGACAACCGGCTTCCAAAATCAAAAACTAAAATTGCGTGTTTATTGGTCATTGCGCGCGACTTGTGTTTAGTTGTCACTCAGTTGACCTACTGACATGCAACTAGAGACCCACTGCACGCAGTTTCAACCAAGTGTACCAATTGCGATTTGTGATCAAGGTACTTCGTTCGTAATTGGCCCACAAAGACGGGATGAATCAAGCTGAAATAAAAGGAAAACCAACGCGTCTTGCAATTGGTTCAGAGCAGTGACTGTTGCATTATTCACCTTGCAGTCTAGATGCGATAGAAATAAAATATCGGCATTGGCCAACGACTCCTTCAGTACAACGGCAGTATAACTGATCTAAATTCCAGGCCTACTCAAAGAAGCCAAATCAACCAGTGGTCAAAGGACATCGGACCATTCCTTGACTCGTAACTCAGAACAGGTACCGGCTACAGTAACAGTGGGCTTGCAACGTAACGTGTTATTTCTAGTTTTCAGTTGTACTTAGTAAAGAATGTTGGTGAAAGTAAATCCAACAACATTTTAAACTGCCGTATAGAATGCGCCCCCACGACTTTCTCTAGTAGACTGTTCCAGAAATTTGCATTTTCCTTTTAAAACGTAGGGTTGGAGAAGTCGCTTTATATCTGGCACCACCAACTTGTGCCGATGATTGCACTTGCTGTATGGAGTTCGTAAATGAAACAGCGGCCGTAACATGAGGATGTCACCACGATGTACTAGGCGGTAGGTCAAAAAGAGATCAACTCGCACTCGACCATAGAATAGCGTGTAGTTTCTCGCACCGACCATCGTTCGGCAATGCATTAAAACCCGGAATGCGCCGCGTGGCGACCTGCTGGACTCATTCATTCTCCTTTGTCTCATCAAGGGTGATTGCATAGTGGGCGGGCGGGCCGTACAAGAATATAGGTCTCATGATGGAGGAGAAGAGGCGAGTGGCCACATCTTCAGACCAAGTACAGAAGCTTGCGCTGTTCACCATAAAATAGCCCATACCTGTAGTGCACGGACTTCAAAGTACACACAAGTCCTTGGCGGATGGCGTAAGATATAATCGCTGGACGTCACCGGTGTAAGTTGGATACGCACTATCCCTACTCAAGTGCATGAATACTGAATTACCTGGCTTGACAAGGAAGGTGAAAGTAGCAAACCGCATGGAGAGGCGATTTAGGTCGTAAGTAAGAAGGCTGCAGTCGTCTATGGCACTTATTACTCGCTACATCCTCAGGTAGATCTCAAACATAGCACACGACAAACAAGGAAGCTGGAGTAGATCATTGCTGATGATTACGAATATTGGGAGCCCCAGCACCATGTCTTCGGGTACGCAACTACTGGAGAGAAACTAGTCATTTAGATAATAAATTTGTACCACTTCCGAATAAAGTGGATGGTACGGAGTGAAGGGAAGCCAACTCGTGTTGGCATCAGTAGTTCTTTTGATTGGGACAGCTGTAATAAAGCTAAATTATAGGTGTTTCCATCTACCTTGATCCTAATAGGTATCAGGCAACTTGACTTGTAGTTATTCACCTTACTGGAATTACCACCTTTCTAACGCAGCTTTCACACTGAGCATCCATATTTTCTCGGTAAATAGCCTTTGGTCATTGACCACTTAAATAACTAAGTCACGGCAGGCGAAATGATGGCCACAGGGACTTGCGTATTTATGCAGTCTGTCATGGCCATTGCGTTTTTATGACATCAACTTTGGCCAGTAGCTGATGCACCTGTACAACGCAAACCAAAGTGCTGATTTTGGTAAGCGCGGTGCGCGTTGAACTCGGTGAGGACACCAGATCACAGGCCAACACGGAGTAGAAGTGCACCACCAAAGCGGACACAGACTTGAAGCTATCCGAGACCTCTAGCACTAGGATACCACTTGCAGGGTTCAGGCGCCTTTTGTCGTAAGCAAACCTTCTTTCCAGAGCTGCCTTTGAGACCTTTGAGTGCTATTCCTCCAACTGTCAAAGTTAGTTTTTCTTGTACTGTTGCGTTTATTTTCCTGCCTCTTGTACGCCTCGTATTAGCAAGGAGAGTTAGAGAGGAGGTATTTTTCTTACAATCGAAGCAGCCGTAAAGTAATTTCGCTATTAACCATGGACTGAATCAAAATTTGACACTTCATGGGTAAAACCTAGAACACCAAAATGCTTCTCCCTCTCTTACAACAGACCAAAAGATTTTCCAATCGCAACTCAAGACGGAGACTTATCCACTTGTCTAGTACCTCGAGTAAGTCCGTCGACGTCACTTTCCTAGTAGTTGTGATCTCACTCCAGCAGACTGGAATACTGCTAAGATCGATCCATGCTGGCTATGAGCACAGGGTGGTCGCTTGCTGCAAAGTGCTTTAGGATCAGCACATCATACGCATCTTGTTCAGAAACTGTTAACGTTAAGTCTAGGCACGATGGAATTCAACACGTTTTTATTTGTGTCAATTCGCATGGGTTGCCGTCTTTCACTATCAAGTTCCAAGTCCACCAACTGTGCTTCGACCTCAAAATGTCGGGACATTAGTTGGGCTGCAAATCAGTATACTCTAAGATAATTGAAATCAGCAATAAGTATAAAATGGGGACGGCCCTTGTGGCCACGGAGATGAGGCAATTAATCGAAACAAAGGCTCAGTGGCAAGTGATGAACTGCACCCACTGGCTGCTCTCCGCGCCTAATGTGGATTAGCTACTAGATCTGGTCACACAGGCCAACATTGTTTCTATAAACGTTCACCATGCTTTCGCGCAGGAAGTAGGGATGAAAAGCAAGGCCTCCCCGTGAGCAGTCGATAATGTGCCGCAACGGGAGCATGTATAGCCACCGAGCTCGATTTCTTGCGCAATCACCTTAGGATTCAGTCCTCCGTGCTAGTTCGCCTACGTCCGGTCATCCAAGTTCAACGAAAAGACACAGTAAATTATACCAGTTCATAAGGCTGGAAATGTTGCTAAGGCTAATAGCAGGCCGCCTTAGCACTAACTGGGTCTGCATGAATTGTGCGTAATGTGTTTATCCGGCTTCCTGAAAGCATGGATACTATCCGAATAGGTCGAATACCGATAGTTGTTAACACATATCTTTTCGTCCCTTCAGCTCAATAAGGGCAAGCATGAGCCGTCCTCGATCCACCGGATAAAATCTAAACCAGCTTGGATCCTCGAACCTTTAAAGATATTTAGGTGTGCAGACTGCCATCGTCCACGAAGTTGCTTCGTATGTTATGATTTTGTTGTTGACGGCTCCAAAACCGGTAAAATTCCTCACTTTCCATCCGCTCTCACCCAAATCGCGAAATCTAGCAATAGGTCTTGGTAAAAGCCCGACCTCGTGATTGTAGAACATATGAGGACTTAAATCACTGGACTGAGGCTTGCGGAATATTATGACAATAAAAGGTTTCTGGTCAACCATGCTTGATTTTCAGGGCGAAGATTTCATCGAGCTTCTCGGAATTTGGCCTGCATTTGAACTTTGAATTTATTTTCCAGGTGTCTTAAGTACATAGGCACTATCACACAAGGATATCTGCAGTTGGAAGATACCAGATTGTTAAAGGATTCATGTCAGGTGAAACAGGGCTGCCCGCAGATGTAGGACTTTGTGCTAGTGAATATAACAAAAAAGAAAAGCAAGGAATATTTGGAAGCTGGATGCGTTTGGGACTGGCGTGTTACTCCAAAAAATCGGAGCCGCTTGCAACGTACTGATTCAGCCTACGACAAGGACGCATCATAATTCTGAAATTCCTAAATATAAATTGTACGAAATCATGTTGCATTTGACAGTGATGCTGAAAGTTTTCAACCGATTGCCCATGATAAGAATTGTGACCATTAACGCGGCACATAACACACTAGTTTTATTGTCGACAATTTTTTATATGGCCCTCCACGATGAATATTTCTGAAACATGAATAATCCGAGATTAATATGGGATCAGTTGTGGGGCATAAAGCGATAATAACATATCATAAATTAAACAGAGGAAATACAGCTGTGAAATGATAAAATATTTAGTATGCTGGTTGTAAACCGAATGCTAGAGTAGTTTCCACGAACTTATTCAGATTTCAGGAGGAATCCAGCAAGAAATAATCTGTTAATATGGCTTAGAAATTAACAACGGGTTGTGGCTTTCCGCAATCCTGCAGTTTCACCTGGGATCTGCTGGTGACTTACTACGGTTGGAGATAAGAATATCTCATGAAATCTAGCTGACAGGATGTCTAAGCGTTGGGGAGCACTTCGTAACAGGAGTCTTAAATGAAAATGCACCTGCACGGAGCACTAGTTATGCAGCATTAGCAGAAATCAACAGCGTGTGTTGTAGCACAAAACATTTAGCCAATCTCCTCAATAGGTTAAATAATAATAAGCCTGCTGTTTTGACTAAATGCTTAAGCCTCTGTTGGATATCATCACAACTTCCGGGATTGAACTGCTAAGTAGATAGAGGTTTTATGGCACATAACGTAATGGTTACAAAAGCTCGCTGGGGAAGTCGATTCTGAAAGACGTTGACCCAAGCAAGATGGGCAGTTATCCACAAACGTGTGTCATCTCCGTTACGACCAAGTTCCTAGAGAAGTTAGTGAAACTAGCGCACTGCAATCACTGACATAGAAAAACCTTCTGACAACTTCACAGCCGGCTTTATTAAACATCGCTCATTAATCATCAGAATTCGACTAGCCAAT